TCACTGGCTAGTGAGATAATTTAGTGAGTTGAAGAGTTTATATCCAGCCAGCAATTGGTTGGGTCCTTAGGATATATAAGGCCCTAAAGTAGACACTGAAATGAACCAAAGACGATCTTTTCCCTTTAGGATGGCACATCTAGTCACTAAAATTATATTGGGATATAAATAATTAGAATCGAGCGTAGAAAACACAAAGGTCTATAGCGAAGGGGCAGATAAGCTGGGATCACAGAAAAGAGAGATTATTCTTAGCTATGTGCTGAGGGAAAGATTCATGGAAAAGGCAGCACTTGAGGTAGGTGTTATGTGATTAAATTCTGTATATGCAGAGAAGGGGGTGAGTCTGTTGCTGAAGTAGTTTTATAAAGGACATATAGTTTTACATAGAGGAGTAGCTTCTGAAATAAATCTAGGAAGGTGGGGGTTGTCTTGTCCAAAGGAGTTTGAGATCCCAGGGCCCTAAACTCAAAGGTTAGAAATTTATCATATGGCTTTTCATTAGGATCGTGTTGAGTTTGTAAAATTGCAAATGTCTGAGCAGGATTGTCCCCAACATGTGTGGGGTACAGAGCAAGCATATGAGGGAAGGCCCACATACTTTATGTCTGAATATTTCAAAGTTTTAGAGGAAGCCACACCCAAGACCTGGTCCTTGTTCCCACCCATGAGACTGTACTGGGGTTAAGAGGCTAAAGGAGCCCTGGCTTCCTTGAAGGCCACTCGGCCACTGGAGGCTTCAGCGTTCATACGGATCTTCAGGGAAAGGGCAGGAGGGAAGCTGGACTCAGGGGGGAACTCCTGGGCAGCACTTGCGTGTGCCTCCATCAAGGACAGGAATGACTCAGCCCAAGGTCTTTGGGTTACTGGGCAGAAAAAGTTCTCCTACCTCACACCTCCCTTTTCTGATTCCAGATTAACAGGAGTTCTAAGCACCACCCAAATGATACCTACCCACTGCACCCACCCCCGCCAGCAGAGGAGAGGATGGAAGTACAGTTGCTTGGGGAACACTGTCTACGCCTCCCCCCACGTCAGGGGCTGTGGTGTGGAGACCTAGAAGCTAAAGCAGCCTCTTTATCTGGCTTTGCAGGGCCCAGGCAGCCTGACCTCTCTGTCACAGAGAATTTCATTCTCTTAATGTCATCACTTGCCAAGATGACAAAATTCAGGGGGACTATGGGGACAGGGACTATGTCCCTGTCCTATATTTTGTGTGTGCTCAATTTGTTATCAAACATTAAAACATGAGGCTGAGATGGGAAAAAAATGTCTTTGTGTTTGTGATGTTTGGAGACTTTTAAAGCCCATGACGTCTCTTGGTCTGGTGTGTGGGTTCTGCCGTGTCTGAGTCCACGTTTAGAACTACTGACCCAGAATATCTTGGGGTTAGAGTTGGAGGTGGGGGTTTCAGGATCTTTGCTAACAAGTTTCAGGGGTGACCATAATGTATAGGCAGAGTTAATGATGCTGACAAGAGGGGAGGTTTAGTTTTTGTTTCAGCACAGGAGGGATGCTGGGTGACTGGTGTTTTAAAAGGCAAACTGGAATAAAATGGAAGAAGAACATAAACGGAGAGGCTTGAGAAGCCACCAGCAAGTGAGACGAGGCCTGGACTGCGGTAGAGGTTATGGGTGGGAGCTGGCCTGGAGAGGTCTTAGGAGCTTGCATCAGAAGCGCTAGTGCTCGGCGGGAGAGATGGAGTCTAGGATGACACTGAGGTTTCCCACTTGTCATGAGTGGAATTGTGTCCACAAACACATATTGAAGTCCTAACTCCTACTACCAAAGAATGTTGACCTCATTTGATAATGGGGTCTTTGAAAATGCAATCAAATTCAGAGGAGGTGATTCGGGGCAGATCCCAACTCAATCAGGTTAAAAAGGCCTCAGAAGAAGACAAGGAACACTGAAGGGACAGCTGTGTGATGACAGCTGCTGCCCAGGAGGCAGAGATGGGAGGTGTGCAGATGTCAGCCAAGAAATGCCAAAGATGTCTAGCAACTACGGCAGAGAAGGGAGCAAGGAAGGGCTCTCCCCACAGGTTTCAGGGGGAGCCTGGCCCTGCTGACCCCTTGATTTTGGATGTCCAGTCTCTAGAGCTGTGAGACAACAGAGCAGTACATTTCAATTGTTTTAAGCCACCCAGTGTGCGGTACGTTATCATAGCAGCCCTGGGAAACCAAGGCCCAGTTAGGTCACTCTGCTGGACTGGGTGACCCGTGAAGGCGAGCCTTTGGGGTAGCAGCACCTGTCCGTGACTGTTCCCTACAACAGGGACATCCTCTCTGTGAGAAATGCAGCCCCATATTCAGTGTCCCTCTTTGTTGCTTAGCTACGCACGCACAGGTATCAGTTCACTGTAGGTTTTAATTATCTACTACATCAAACGGCATAAACAGAAGGTATTCATTTACTACAGGTTTCAGTTGTCTACTATGCAATCAAGCAGTTTCTAAAAAATACATTAAAAGGTTTTGACATTCAGTTTTCCCATCCTCATGCTGACCATATTTTAATTTGGCTTTGAAAGGTATTTTTAGTAAGACTTGACGGTACTATCTTGAAGCTACCAGGGTAAAAATCATTCAGAAAACCTATAGGAGAGTTCATCTCTCCCAGTAATATTTTCTCAGATAGAAAATTACTGCAGCATTGAACTGCCAAAGAGACAGCTGAAAAAAAAATGGGTCATGCCTTCATCCCATTCTGGGTCCGGCACAGCCAAGCCGTTCACTGCTCATTTTCATCCTCTTGCGCGTAAACAAGCTGTGTTCACAAGTTACTTTTTAAAAGCATACTAATTTCCCCAGTGAATTACACAGGAAAGAATCCAGCGTTTGCTCCCAGAGGACTCAGATGCTTGTTTGTTCTCAGAGCTCAGGTGTGCTCAGATAGCTGCGGGCTAAACACGCAGGCTGGACACTGGCCAGCGGGCGAGAGCTCTGCCTCCACTCCCGCCCTGATTGCTCACACAGGCGCTCGACTCAGAGACTGCCTAATGGAAGAAAAAAGGGACCCGATTTTCAATTTCAATTGAATTACACAATATACAGTGCCCAGCGGGAAGGACTGGGGGGCAAGGTTCACGCTTAGCCGTGATCCATTTTGCATTCCTTTCTGATCAAAAACACTGTATTGATTATCCAAAGTGGGCTTTCAAAAATGTTTTTTGAGAGCCAAATTCTTCTAGTGGCTGAGTAATTTGAAAAAGAAATTCGTTCCTTCACTCTTTGCCAGAATTTAGATAAATTGGAAGATGCCGTTTTGAACTGTACTATCAGTGCATTTTTGAGGGTGGGGAACACTTCTCGACTTGGGAGAAGAATAAATAGAAGTTTCATCATAGGATTAGAAATATAAGCTGGTAAACAATGATTAGACAATACAGCCGTCTCTCCTGAGAATGGCTGTATATAATTAAAATACAAAAGACCTTCTTTTCAGTTAAGACATAAAGATTTGTTCTCTTCTATTGAGACTGGAAACCATTACGGTTTTATTTGGCCTCCAATCAATATTTAAGATTATGAGTAAATATTTGGTGTTCTATTTTGTTGTCTACACATTCTATTAGTCTTGCCAAATGTAGAAAGAAGGAAAAACAGGAAATGAAAATCTACCCCTAAGAAGTGACCCAAGTACACTTTTCAGCCAACAGCTTTAACTTGTTAAGTTAATAAGGAAAACAGTTCGCTTTATTAGGAAAACTATTGTCTATGTGACTTAAATAAATAAAAATGGCAGCAATTAACTTTACTGGTTAACTATTTGCTCAGCCTTACCAAGCCCCTGGAGTACACATAAATAACCGAAAATACAATGATAAGGAAACTAAGTTCACAAGGCAAATAAACTATTTGAAATGGCCAACTGATTTTGCCTTTATGCAACGACGGTTATTTTCAAGCATTAAAATGGAGGCTACTAGAAGGTCTACCTATAAATTATATTATATTCAAAAGCGAATTGGCACCTGATACACATAAATTTTGCTTACAGAATTTGCAGGATAGTATATTAGCCAAGTGAGTAACTGTTTTCAAAGTTTGATGAATAATAGGGCAAGCGGCACAGATTGGTTAAAGCTAGAACTTTATTTGGGGGGACTGATGAGAATTTATTTTGGCGTGTACTTAGAAGACTTTGAAAAAAGCACCCTTGACTGGTGTAAATGTGGACTTATCATTCTTCTCCTTGGCAAGGGTGAGTTATAATTTATGCCAGAGGAAGAACAAACAAACAAACAGGTAGAGATTTGTACATGTGAGTGAAACTGGAGTGGATGCTGCCAAAGGCCAAATGTTTGCACTCTCTGCGTCTCTGAGTCCAGGGGCAAAGGTGGGATTTGGAGATACTGCAGCATAACTGGCCTATAGAAAGATGGGGGCGGGGGGTTTGAGGCAAGACAGCCTTTGGTTTGTGTGTGCAGCTGCAGGTCTGAGCCCTGAACACTTATACAGAAGGGCTCCTCCCACCTGAACGTACAAAAGGATAGATTAGCAATAAGGTTGGGTGAGAAAATAGTGAAGCCAACTGTGAGTGGAAAAAGACCAGAATAGAAAGTCAACTTGTGGTCTGTTTCAGTTCTTAGCTGTTAGGGAGGAATGACTTCCAGCTGAGCTAATTAAAACCTGGGAAAATCACAGAGGAGAGTCACCTTAGTTAAGGGCAAGGAGATGAAAGTGTCTATTTGCTGCCATGATAGCATCAGTGCAGGGTCAGGATGTGGTCGGAGGGATACTTGCAAGTTGGAACTGGCAGAGTCCCATTTCCACTGGTTCTCATGCGGGGAAGGGAGGGAAGGAAGGGGATTGGAGGAGACAAAGAGAGTGCGTGATCGTCTGCAGATGGCCCATTATTTGTTCTCAGAACCGATAACATACATATTGCTCATATCCAACGGTTAACATTACCTTCTCCTTTCACATTTATAAATGCTTAACTATTAACATTTAAAACAAAATCTGTATTACGGTTTATGAGAAACGAGGAAATACCTGGTTGATATTATTTTCCCGGATTTCTTCTGTAGTCACTGAAAGAGAAAAGAGATTTTTACATTAAATGATGAAAATAATGAAAATACAGTACCGATCCTGTTTTGCACTCAGTCAAAACCCCATAGCAGTCCTGGGCTTCCGAGCGAGGATTTGCACCACGATGTGGACATTTACAATCACTCTGATAACTGGGGAGAAACAACAAAACCTAAACAAACCGTCTTAGGCAAAGATCACAGAAGATGGATCAGAAATTAAATAAGGGGCATATCAGCACGATTGACTAAACTTTGGCTGAGAAAAGATGAAGAGATGAAAAGGACTAAAGAAAAATTCAAACAGCCATTCAGAGGTTTCCAAACAATACAGGTCTGTGAAGCTTAATACCAACCCGGAGCTCATGGAACCCTGAGAACGAGATCAGGAGATGTGAGGTGGCCGGTGGCAGAAGGGCTACTTTAAAAAACTTGTCTCCTACCTGTGCAGCGATGAAAACATTACAATACTTGGTTGTCATGCCACTGCCAGAGACTGAGCTACAAACCAACAGCGCTGCAGGTGGCAATTTGGTTAGGATGGAAAAAACTCCGCCATTGTAGGGAAGGCAACAGAGGGACAGAATGAATAAGGATTCTAAAATAACTAATTTCAGTTTTTATGAAAATAGCTCGAAAGTGGTCAATGTCACATACATCTTAAATAGAAGGGGAAAAAAATCTTTGGTGGCAGTAAATAATAACAACAACAAAAAAATCCACCAGAAAAGAAAAGAAAGAAATTTTGTGGCTCCACCATTATTATGCATTTGTGAACACCTCGCTGTGTTGCATATATTTCACTAAATCTGTCCTTTTTGAAAATGTAAACTTTCATTCTAACTGAGATAATTATACAGTCTCATGCCGTTGTAAGAAATAATACATAGAGATTCCTATACCCTTTACCCAGTTTCCCCCAGTAGCAACATCTTGAGAAACTGTATTATTATACAATGTTACAATCAGAATGTTGATGTTGATGTAGTTAAAGCAAAGAACGTTTCTGTTACCATAAGGATCCCTCCCATTGCCCTTTGTAATCACTTCCCTCCCACCTCACTCCCTCCTTAACTCCTGCCAACCACCTATCTGTTCTCCATTTCTATAATTTTATCTTTTAAAGAATTATGTATCAATGGAATCCTACAGTATATGACCTTTGGGGACAGGCTCTTTCACTAAACACAGTACCCTGGAGATTCAGTCACACTGCTGTGTCCACAGTTGCCTCTTTCCGACTGCTGAGTAGTATTCTGAGATGTGGATGTAGCAGTTTGCTTAGCCATTCACTCACTGAGATCGCTGTAGTTTTTAGGTCTTGGCTATTATGACTAGAGCTGCTATAAACATTTGCTTACAGGTTCTTAGGTGAAGGTAAGTCTGCATTTCCTGGAATAAACGCTCGGGAGTGAAACTGCCGGGTTGCACGTTACTTGCATGTTTAGTTGAAAACTGCCGAACTGTCTTCAAAAGACAATGTGATAGGTGAAACTTACCAAATTAATCAACCATTAATAACTATATACTTTAAACGTTTACTAGTATTCAGTACCCAGCTAGGTGCCATAGAGGACATGGTAAAAATATAAAAAACAAAGAAAACAGGATGGCAGGATTCAGAGAGGGCTGTTTAATGACACTGTCCTCAGGAAGTGCTTGGGGTCAATCTTGGAGTTTCCAGATAAGAACCACCTCCATTTTTTTTAAATTTATTTTTTATTAGATCATAATTGTGTACATTAATTCTATCATAGGATACAGTGTGTTGCTTCTATATGCAGTTTGGAAAACTCTCATCCAACTGGCTAACATAGCCATCATGTTTTTCTCATAATTGTTGTGTTAAGACATTTATATTCAACCTTTAGACAAATTCACATGTACCCTAATAGGATAAATTATAGGCATGATCCTCACAATATCATTCTCTTCACCCATCCTCTCCCCTCTCCTCCCCCCCTCCTCTTTCCTCGTAGTCTAGGGCTCCATTTGGATTGTAGCTTTCCTAAGATAGCTAACAATTAGTTTCATAATAGTATTGAGTACATTGGATACTTTTTCTTCCATTATTGAGATACTTTGCTAAGGAGGACATTTTCCAGCTCCATCCATGGAAACATGAAGGAGGCAAAGTCTCCCTCTTTCTTTGTGGCTGTATAGTATTCCATGGTGTACATATACCACAATTTATTGATCCATTCATGGGTCGATGGGCACTTGGGCTTCTTCCATGACCTAGCGATTGTGAATTGGGCTGCAATGAACATTCTGGTACAGATATTTGTATTATAGCGTGATTTATGGTCTTCTTGGTATATATCTAACAGCGGAATTACAGGATCAAATGGTAGATCTATATTTAGATCTCTGAGTGTTCTCCATATGGTTTTCCAAAAGGGACGTATTAGTTTGCATTCCCACCAGCAGTGTAGTAGTGTTCCCTTTTCTCCACAACCCCGCCAGCATCTGTGATTTTGGGATTTTGTGATATGGGCTAATCTAACTGGCGTTAGATGATATCTCAGAGTGGTTTTGATTTGCATTTCTCTGATGATTAAGGATGGTGAGCATTTTTTCATATGTCTGTAGGCCATGCCTCTGTCTTCTTCAGAGAAGTTTCTCTTTAAGTCTCTTGCCCACCCTGCGATGGGATCACTTGTTCTCTTCTTGCTACTACACTTGAGTTCTCTGTGGATTCTGGTTATAAGACCTTTGTTGGAAGCATAACCAGCAAATATCTTTTCCCATTCTGAGGGTTACCACCTCGATTTTTTAAGGGCAATGCTCAATCAGTTATTTTTGATATATTTTAATTTTATATTTCTTTTGTCACAATATACGCAGAGTGTTTAAAGAAGAGGTGACCTGATTTGTGGGAAAAGCTCAGACTTTTAAGTTAGACAGACCACCAGTATTCTAAGTTTGGTTCCCCAAAGAAGTGACTTTTGAAATCTGAAAGATGATGGGGAGGTAATTTGGCCAAGAAGAGGGGGAAGAACACTCAGGCAGAAGAAAGAGCACATGCAAAGGCCACATGACAGGAGGCAGCTGCTGGGTTCATGGCTTGGAAAGGAAGCTAGTGAGACAGGGGTGAAGTGAATGGGGTGGGGGAGATTGTCTGGGCAGGTGGGAAACACACAGCAAATAAGCCCATGTGGACCATTTTGGGAGATTTATGATGACCTCAAAAACAGTGGAAACTTGGCCATCAAGCAGATCAAGGCCAGGATGTGGGCAGGGGCCTTAGAATGGCATGGAATACACGGATTTGTATTTTTAAAAGACCACTTAGCTCTGATTAACTAGAAAACAGACTGGACAGGATGTCAGGGCATTAGCAGCACTATGAAACCTTTATTTTGTTTCATTAGGGACCAAGGGAAATCTGGAGAATTTCAAGAGAAAAATAAGAGTCAAAATAATAAATCCGAAGGTATTCAAGAGAAAAATAAGAGCCCAATAACACAGCATCTGATTGAATTCTAGAAAGTGAAGTGGAGGACAGCCTGCCACCTACTGACAGCTCTCCAATGACTAGATGTTTGATTTGGGGCTAGTTACTTAATTCTCTGGCTTGTTTGACTATCTAAAACAAAGAGTTAATAATATCCATTCCTTCCCAGATTTGTGAGAATTTTGCAGGCAAAGGATGAGAGAGAGACATTCCAGGTAGTTGGGCAGGGCCAGTAAAGTCTCAGAGGCAGACAGGAGTGGGGTGTGTTGGGTGAATTGTGGCTTATGTACTATAACGATGGACTCCAGCAGGTGGAGAGTACTAGGCATGGGAGGAGAGAAAGACATCAGCTTGGGGAAGTTTTTGACTTGGGTTGAGGTAGGGAGCTTTGGAGGCAGTAGAGGCCAGAAAAAGTCTTTGAAAAGGGGATGAGGTGATCAAAGCAGTTCTTGAGAAAGGTAAGTTAAAGGGGTATGGGAGGTGGGTGCCAAAAAGAGCATCGAGTATATGTAGAGTCCAGCCAGGAGGGATGAGGGCATGAGCCTAGGCAGTGAGAACAGGAAGGGAGGGATGCCTGCAGCAGGTGGCATCTCCTTCTCTCCTCCCTCATTATCTCCCTCTCTCCCTCCCTTCCTTCTTTCCTTCCTCCCCCCCCCCATCTCTATCTCTCTTTCTTTCATTTTAAGAGATAGAGTCTTGCTTCATTACCCAGGCTGGAGTGTAGTAGCATGATCATAGCTCACTGTAGCTTCCAGCTCAAGGGCTCAAGTGATCCTCCAGACTCAACCTCTCATATAGCTAGGGCCACAGGTGCCCACCACTGCAACAGGATAATTTTTAAACTTTTTATAGAGACGGGGTGTTGCTATGCAGCCAAGGCTGGTCTTACACCCCTGTCCTCAAGTGAGCCTCCTGCCTTGGCCTTCCAAAGTGCTAGGATTACAGCCCTGGCCTACAGGTGGCATTTTTGAGGTTGCTCTGGAGACTGATTAGATATGGGAAGTTCAGGAGCATAAAGCAAAGGCAGCCCTCAGGTATTCAGCTAAGAGAACTTGTAGATGACGACACTATTAAAGATACAATAGAGGAAAGAACAGAACTTAAAGGGAAGTTACTACGCGAGGCTAGTGCCCACAAATAAAATGAAGATATTTATAGGTTACAGAATGTGACACGCCAGTTGTGGCTAATAGAAAATGCCCACATCCTAATCACTGCAACCTGTGAATATGGTAACTTACATGGATATGGTATCTTACATGGATATGGTATCTTACATGAATATTGTATCTTACATGGAAAAACAACTTGGCAGATGTGATTCAGTTAAGATCTGGAGATAGAAAGATTATCTTGGATTAATCTGGGTGTTTCCAGTGTTATCATAAGAGTTCTTATAATGGAGAGGCAGGAGAATCAACAGCAGAGAGAAGGAGATAACAGCAGTTGGAGTGATGTTGCTACTTGAAAGGGCTGTGAGCCCAGGACTGTGGGCCCAGGACTGTGGGCAGTCTCTAGAAGCTGGGAAAGGGGAGGAGGTGGA